TGGACTCCTAATTCAACAGCAGTACAAGAATGAGCACATGCTGCAGCATATATACATGTATATATATATATATATGGTATGTATATATATATATATACATTTGTATATATATATATATGGTATGTATGTATGTATGTATGTATGTATGTATATATATATATATATAGACATATATACCGTGTATATATATATATATACATATATGTGTGGTCTATGGTGTGTATGTGTATATATATGTTTATGGTGTGTATATAAATATATATATATATATATACACACACATGTAGGTAGATACATGCTATGGGCATACAGACTGCCACCAGGTTTTTTATGAACACGCCTCCTGAAACAAGGCTTACCGGTACATCCTGCATGCAAGCCACTTCCACTATCACACCATGCAAAAATTCCAGCCTTGATAGGGCAGAGAAACCACTGAACCTCAGTAAACGATGTACATCGCGGCTTCATTGAGCCAGTATCTGACGATCGGATTGGTCGCTTTGTCTTCGCCAACCCGCCGGCAGCATGTAGCAGAAGATTGTGCAGCTATTTATCCGGCATAGAAGGATTGCTAGATTCTGAAATGTGCCGTATGATTCGAGCGGCGGTATGCTGTGCAGAAATAGCAAGCATGACATCGCCCGAACGGTATCATTTGAACGGATTCCTTTGTTTTGAAGGTGAAAAGAGTCCGTACTGCAGTCCGCGAAGCTCACTTGTCTGCTTTTCTCTGTTCCCGGACCAGTTCTTGAATTACGCGAGTCGTCATGACTGCACTCGCAGCCGCTACCGCCGACTGCAGCTGCGAAGATGATAGACTGTTGAGTCTGTTCTGACTGCGTCCAGTGGAACTCGTTCGAAAGCAAAGTTGAGATACTTGTGATCATGACCATCGCCGCGAACAGCAAACAGATCTCGCTTCTGTTCCATTCTGCATTGTGGTACGGATGGCAGTATGGTGGTTCTGGTTTCGCTGTTTCTGTACTGCNNGCAGTACAGAAACAGCGAAACCAGAAACACCATAGAAAGACATACCACCTGCAATGCGGACGAGGAGGCGATGGGCAGAAAGGCACCGATGAACGCGAAGAGCGTCTTCCGGATCAAGCGCATCTCAAAAAAGCACGTACTACTGGTAGCGCTGGTACTTGCTGGTCAGACCACGTGGCAACATGCGGATGCAGGCAACATGCGGATGTTGCCACGTGGTCTTCCTGACCAGCAAGTACCAGCGCTAGCATGCGCTCTTTGAGATGCGCTTGATCCGGAACCCAGAGAACCCAATACCCCTTAAATAGAGAATGTTCTTTGAATCATAATATCAAGGCCCTCTATATATAAGATATTTTCCTTAAGTAAGCGGTATTGGGTTCTCTGGGTGAGAGGGTCACAGGGTCTTCTCGAAGCCGACGTACGACAAGAGACACTGCAAGGCGGCGCTGCCCAAGGACCCTTGCCCAGATGCGGTTTCAGCTGTGGCAATTGTAGCATTCAAAAAGAAGTTGAAAGCTTTGCTTCTCATGCTTTTTGCCGTCTCGGTCTGCAAGATCGCTGACATGATCGTGTTGGAGATGGCGGCGACAGCCACGAACTGGTTCAGGTAGATGCTGCCGTGCTTCAAGTCGCCGGCCTTCCTGGCGCCCGGCTGCAAGCGTGAAGAGACAGGAACGCAGTGATGTGAACACGATCCACTGCACTACCTGCTCACAGGGATTTTTGCTGCAGGCAATGCATGAAAGCACGCTGTTGTCAGCCATCGCATACTCGTCGCTGCAGTCCGTGCAATCCTTGCCCACGTAGCTGTCTTCGCACATGGCCGTTTGGACACTTCCATATACAGCATTTGGCCGCCAGGTGCCCGGGCTCCATGCATGAGCTCACTGGCCAGGCACTTTCGAGCATCATCCGGGCGTTGGCTACACGGCCTGTGCAAACCAGGAGACACACAGGTCCAGAACGTGACGAAGTTCCTCACGTTCAGCCTGGTGTCCCCTAGCATGCGAGGCAGCCAGAGTCATCCAATTTCCGGAAGTCCACCAAACCCGACCGGAACAGGAAACTAGTGGTTTGGGAAGAATTTGCCAAACAAAAACGCAGACAGTCCATCACGTGTATAAAGACGAAACCGGATTGCGACTGCGTCTTGAGCTTGGCGGCGCCAAGCTTCAAAACACCTGCGACTGAGATGTCTTCCACATTGCTCGTACCCCTACCCTGCAGCGAAAGCTCCTGAATGCGCACCTCTTCGGCGGAAGTTGCGGAAAGGGCAGCGGCATAATAACCTGCGTTACAGCGCTCAAACAAAAGCTTTCCGGAAAAAATCCCACCGCCAGTGTTGCTCGCCGCACTCCTTCAATGAAATCGAGCCGCCGTAGCGCAGGATGCTGTCGACCTTTACGCCGACGAGTGCTCGAAGATTGCTTCACCCCCAGCCTCTCTCGAAGATAGCTTCACTCCTGCTTCATTCTTGGCCTCCTGCCGGAGCACGGTTACCCTCGAGAACTGCACGGCTGCAACCGTGCAGTTCTCGAAGAGAACCGTGCTCTGCTCTTCGGAAGAGCTGCCCTTCACATAGACGCCGCCTCCTTGCTTGGTGGATGTCCATCTGACGAAGGTGCCGTAGCGGTTCCTGGCGATGAGATCCTTCTGCATGGACAGAGCTCCTCCGTTTGCCTTGTGCATCTTCCTCCGCGTTCTTGTTGCTGCCGCCAAAGAACGTTCAGCAAGGAATGACGCATTCCCAAGGACCGTTATGCAGGGTCCAGCCAGTTTCGGCTCTTCCACAACCTTGATCACTCCCATTAAAACCAGGTTGCTGCAGAGGATGTGGCTGCCGTTTCGCGGTTGTCCATCGCATGCAGGGTAGCTAATGTAGGGGCTTTTTGTGGTATATTATACTATAGTTTTAATAAGGAGCCCCCAAACTAGTATAGGTAATTCTTAAGGCCCCTACAGGAACCTCGCCAGCAAGGCCTGTCCCTGGCCAGGCTGCTGGAAGCCGTCGCAAGGGGGCGCCGCCTCTGTCCCTGGAAGTAAGTCCAAGTCCTCCATGCCGTAAAGCACCGCACGCCCGAGGATCAAGAGGAGCATGGCGAAGATTCTACATGTACGGCTCCCCCAGCCTTTTGCTGGGGAGCTCTGGTCAAACATGGTCACACGACGGAAATTGGAGCTCAGAGCCAGAGTTGAGCCGTATAGCACTGCAGCCGCGACTACCAGAAGCACCATCATTACAATGCTCACCATTGTCGTCAGACTCCCATAAGCCCCTGACAACAGCTTGACAATGTTGATGCTCCCATCACACAAATATGCTCGTGTCAGAACAGTAGGACGCGCAGGGACTGACAGCGAAAAGAAGCAGCCTAAATGTCACAATCAACTTTTACGGTAGGCGCTTCGCGCTGTCCTTCTTTGCAAGCCGGCTGGAGACCTCCTCAGCGCTCTTGAACATGGGGGCGCCGTTGTTTGAATAGGTCCGCGGCGACGGTAGCGGAGGTTGATCGAGGATTGGCTCCTAGAAGGTTGTGGGGGCAGAGGGTGGTGTGATTCTTGTGGCACTCGTTTGTTTGGCTTAGAGCTTAGGGTAAGAAGGGGAGCGCGTTTTTTTTCGACCACAAGCCTGAGGTGGACAGCCTATTAGACCTAAAACCCTGAAACCCCAAGCCCCTAACCTCGATACCTCTAACTGTATAGACGGTATAAACTCGAGTTTGGACATTCTCTCCTTGCCAAGGGCGCGGTAGAAGGTGCGGTGGCCCACTGCCAGAGCCACACAGGCAATGAACTCGGTCATGCGGTACCTTGTATTTCGTGAGATGTACGGCTTGGGGGGTTGATAATGTAGCGGCCTCAATAATCACGAAGATGATCCCCTGCGGGTCGTACTTTTTCAATATACCCCAAACCCTACTCTAATTACTAGGGCCCCTAGATAAGTCCATCCACAAGTCGGAAAGTCGGACAGAGTGACTATCAAGCGCGCCGCCCTCTGCGTGACAAAGTGTTTGGGCTTTTTCCGCTTTAGTGGTTTACTGGTTTGTAGTTTTGGGGGCCTGGAAAGTATTTATGAACAGGTACTTGTATAGGAACCATAAGGGAAATTCTAAAGTTTCCCAAAGTGCCACCTAGTTTAGGAGTTCGGAGTTGAAGGGTTTCAGTGGCGGTTTAGCCTTTGGCTCCTGGAGAATAGGGGTATACAGAGCTGATAGATACGACTACGCCTCGAGCGCCGGATAACCTGAGGTTGCAAACTCCGGACATCACTTGTAAACCTAAACCCTAAACCCTAAACCCTAAACACAAATCACAAGAGTTTTGGCGACCAAAGTACAGCCGCTCCTGGGCTGTGTCCTTGGCTTCGGGCGGCACCTCGCCTAACTTCTGAAGCATCGCCCAAACATGCTCCACGGCTTTGTGGTACCAGTCCTCCTTCCTGATCGTGAGGTTGACGGCAGGCCGGCATGTAGGGCTGAGCTCACGACGCTTTACATTCGTGGAACAAACGCTTTCTCAGAACATCCAGGCTTCAAGAGATTCTGGGTGTTCGCGAGAGCATGGACGATGACTCCAAGGCCGTGGCAAGCATCGGGCTCGTGGAAGCCTGAGCAACATTTCAATGAGTCCATGCATCCCTCGTCCTCGCCCCCTCGCCCTGTCTGCCGGGCCATAGGAGGCTCAAGCCTCAAGTGCCAAAATCACGCCCGCACCTGTAATTTCGCGGTCCAACAAGCAAACACTAAAGTAATGTCTGCATGGACGCACGCCTTTTGTATGAGAGCAGGCTGACACTGACAAGAACACCTGCACGACTTCGCAGATCCGCAATCCAAGAGCCGCAATCAAACTCTTTCAGCCTGTGCAGCCTGTGCAAGCAGTGGGTACGCCTTTCCCTGCCACCACGTATTATCTCATTATGCGCTGCTATATATTCATGAGTTTAATATTGATACGGCTATCAATACGGTTGTTCTTAGACGTGCCGCCCACCTCCGGCAACGTTTGCCCCTAGCCACTTGGCGGTTCGATGTCGGGTAAGTTGGTCAGAGACGGAACGCTTCGATCGCTGAGTGGCAGAAGCAGCGGATTTCTGACAACGGGTGAGGTGTGCAAGTAGTTTCTGTTGAAGGGCCGCAGCAATGACGTAAAAGGAGCGCTTCTGTCTCTTGCATTGTGTACTGATAGTACTGATTACCTTATACTTCAAGCACACAAGTGCATGCATGCGCGCACGTGTGCACACATACAGATATGACATACGAAGATACAACAAATGTGTATATACATATGTATGTATGTATGTATGTATGTATGTATGTATGTATGTATGTATGTGCATGTGTATGTGTATGTATATGTATA